GCAGTCGTCACCATAGTAACCTGGTTTACATCTGTAACACCTGCCCGTATCTCTGTCACACCCGCCAGTGTCACAGTGGCTGCAGTGTTTGGTACACCTGTCTCCAAAGCAACCGTGTCGGCACGCTTGACAAGTTAATCCCCCCATACGGAGCGGTGCACCCATCACTACATTTGCCGGTGATTCCTGTGGAATAACATCAAGAGTGTTAGACAATTCACAATGGAATATTTCATTTTTGATAGCTTTATACTAGTAACTTAAGGTCCAAGCTTTAAATCTGGTATATTTGCATTATGCTGAAAGAAGTGAGGGAGTGAGTGAGTTTAGTTTTACGTCGCATTCAGCAATATTCCGGCGGTGTGTAAATAATCGAGTCTGGTCCAGACAATCCAGTGATCAACAACATAAGCATCGATCTTCGCAATTTAAATATGATGACATGTGTCAACCAAGTCAGCGAGCTTGACCACCCGATCCCGTTAGTTGCCTTTTACGACAAGCATGGGTTGCTGAAGACCAATCCTGACCAATTCTAACCCCGATCTTCACGGGTATTGAAGGAAGAAGTGATAATTTACTGGTGAAAGGCGATATTTCATACGATTCATATACACCATACAGCATACAGTGGTTAAAACGTTCGCTCGCCGCACCGAATCGAAGGCCCGGGCTCGATTCCCCACATCCCACATGGGTACAATATGTGAAGCCCATTTCTGGTGCCGTCCCCGTGATACTGCTGGAATATTGCTAAAAGCGGCATAATACTACAGTCACTTCAAATTGCCGCCTTACACAGCTTGAACATTGCTGCTTGCGGCGTTAACCAACAAACAAACATACACTTGAAACTGATTAAGAAACTTCTTACCATGAACACATGCGTATATCAAAGCGATGATAGTCACAATGCGACTGAGAAATCTTTCCATCTTCCAAAGATGAAACATCAATACGAGTGTTGTTTTTCAAATGTAAAGTATCGGAGAAAACACATCACCGTGTCCCAGTGTTTGGGGTGTCCGCTGGAGGGAACACTATCGCCTGGTAGATGTGCAGCTTATGCGGGCCCAGAACCGCTCACCTGGACCAGTGTACACTTTGATACTACAGGTGCTCTATATATAACTATGACTTGTCATTTTAAACACTGCTTGATTTTAAAGATCTGACTCTATGTCTGGCGGGCTGCCAACAGCACGAAGCATGCCTAAACCCGTCTTTCTGCTTTCTTTTCTGGTTTACATTTCAATACGGTGTCTCATATGTGAAATGATTGTATTTCATTTGTATTCTTAATCATTAAAATCTTTAATCTAAATGTTTTGTATCGGATAAATAATGTTGTCTGTTTTGGTAGGTGGATAGGATTATCACTCCCTGTATAAATGAAGGTCAGATTTCCTTCCATTTGTGGTAAAACTGTCAGCCGAACAATACATATTTGGATATTTTATTTAGTGAACTAACTTACTGCAAACAACCAAATTGGTGTTTTGTTGACAAATACATCTGATTCATTATGTCCATCCTGATAGGCACATGCATTTGCGTTAATGAATGGAGAAAAACGGCGTCGATGCGTGTTATAGTTTTTTAATTATTTGAATGCCGAATTTGTGCACATTGTAATATGATCTAATGCGAAGTACGGTAAGTATCGACTTAAGTGTACAGGGTTATCATGCGCCGGTCTGCTGCGCATGTCAGTCTAGCTGCACATGTCACTCTGTCATACCTATCTGTATTTTATCTACTGATTTAGTATGTACTTTACCCCATTAACACCGACTGATCACGTACTGGGGTCCAAGACAATAACGTCAAGTTCTCAATACGTTAACGGGAGATATTCCACCTTTTTCCACGTCTGTCTGCCCTGTAGGTATTCCTGAACAGCAAGGTTCCTGGTACCATGGGGATATAACGGGACCAGACGGATTGGTTGTCATTGTCAATAGACTTGTTCATGACATCAACCACCGAGTTTACCTGATTATTTTATATTTTCAGAGGTCTTAGACATTCTCCCTATGTAACGGGAATATTGTTGCCTACGTTGTAAAAATTAGTTCCACCATCCCTGAAATAACGAAACATGTAGGCAAAATAGAACCCAATAACACAATTGAACACTTATACTGTGGATAAACATGTATGGTTTACTCGTCGTATGTGTGGTACATACATGCTCGTCCCACTCTTTGTAGAGACATATATTGGATTGTATCGAGGTTTGTCAGCGAAGCGAATAGGTATTAAAAGTTTCATCATATTCTTTTGGCGTTATGGGGGTATTTGTTCCGTTAACAAGAGGACCTTTACTCGTTGATGTCTGTCTTTAACCGATGAGATCACGTGAGCATTAATTAATGTGCAAATTGAATCCAAGGGCATTTTTAGAAATTGAGATAATAACCAAGAACAACGCCATGAAAACATTACCAGGACCTACAAGGAGCCCCGATATGAACCCCCATCGAACATCTTTGGGACTATCTTGGACGCCAAGTTCGAGATGGAGATCCTTCTGCAGGAACTGAGGCACAACCCATGAGGAATGGTAGAGAAGTCCGATGCCTAGAAGACGACGCTCCCTTGCTGGTATAATAGGAGACTGGTCCATGTTAACTGTGTGAGTGGTTGTTACACCAGGTACTGATGTGATCGCTAGTGGGTTTTTATTTGACAACTAGGTGATTTAGGTTTTGGTGGAGTAGCCATGGTGAACATACTTTCCGGTATTGTGTATTCCTCTCAGATTACCAAATTGTAATATATGAGCACTTCCAACAGTCGTGTTTTTCATGCTTATATATAGTATTGAATAATGGGGATATACCAAATGTTTGTAAATCCAGTAAACTAAAGGAGATTTTCGGCGCACTTGACAATCAAAACAATTAAGTATTTAGGAATAATGAAAATACACAGAAACATATTTAAATGGTTTGCACAAAAACAAAAAGGGAAAGCCCGCTATGTTAGTGTGTACATAAACGTTATCATTAAGGTTGAGTGCTATCCCTATCTGGATAGGAACGACCAGAGCTGCATGGCTTCATTAAGGTTGAGTGCTATCCCTAGCTGGATAGGAACGACCAGAGCTGCATGGCTTCATTAAGGTTGAGTGCTATCCCTAGCTGGATAGGAACGACCAGAGCTGCATGGCTTCATTAAGGTTGAGTGCTATCCCTAGCTGGATAGGAACGACCAGAGCTGCATGGCTTCATTAAGGTTGAGGGCTATCACCATCTGGATAGGAACGACCAGAGCTGCATGGCTTCATTAAGGTTGAGGGCTATCCCTAGCTGGATAGGAACGACCAGAGCTGCATGGCTTCATTAAGGTTGAGTGCTATCCCTAGCTGGATAGGAACAACCAGAGCTGCATGGCTTCATTAAGGGTGAGTGCTATCCCTATCTGGATAGGAACGACCAGAGCTGCATGGCTTCATTAAGGTTGAGTGCTATCCCTATCTGGATAGGAACGACCAGAGCTGCATGGCTTCATTAAGGTTGAGGGCTATCCCTATCTGGATAGGAACAACCAGAGCTGCATGGCTTCATTAAGGTTGAGTGCTATCCCTATCTGGATAGGAACAACCAGAGCTGCATGGCTTCATTAAGGTTGAGTGCTATCCCTATCTGGATAGGAACAACCAGAGCTGCATGGCTTCAATAAGGTTGAGTGCTATCCCTAGCTGGATAGGAACGACCAGAGCTGCATGGCTTCATTAAGGTTGAGGGCTATCCCTATCTGGATAGGAACAACCAGAGCTGCATGGCTTCATTAAGGTTGAGTGCTATCCCTATCTGGATAGGAACAACCAGAGCTGCATGGCTTCATTAAGGTTGAGTGCTATCCCTATCTGGATAGGAACGACCAGAGCTGCATGGCTTCATTAAGGTTGAGTGCTATCCCTATCTGGATAGGAACGACCAGAGCTGCATGGCTTCATTAAGGTTGAGTGCTATCCCTATCTGGATAGGAACGACCAGAGCTGCATGGCTTCATTAAGGTTGAGGGCTATCCCTATCTGGATAGGAACGACCAGAGCTGCATGGCTTCAGGTAGACTAACGCTTAGTCTCTCAATACATAACATTTGGATAGTAACCAATAATCCCATTTAAATTGGAAAGGAGCCCCAGTGAGATGGGAGATTCAGAACATGAGGAAATCTAGACTTGCTTCATTTAGAGCTTTAGTGTTGCAGGGAGAGCTGGATGGAAGGGAAAATAATGTGGTTCAGGGACTGTGAGACAGACTAGGCTTCAGGGATAGATAGACCCCTTCCTGTTGATAGGTGTAAGTACAACGCAGATATCAATACATGTCTGTCAATAGGCCATGTGCCGTATTTGTTTGTTTAACGCCGCACTGGACACTATTCCAACTATACGAAGGTGGTCTGTAAATAATCGAACCTGGACCATACAATCCAGTGACTGGCATCATGAACACCCATCAACGCGACTAGGATTCGATGATATGCACCAACCATGAGTCTGACCACCCAGAATCGTCTCTGACGGCAATCATGGGCTGATGAAGGCCAGTTAAGTGATAAATAAATGTCTTGTCATCCGATTGCAGGGTGTTTTCGTAACTAGTGAACTTGATGATATTGACGACACATCCGTCCTTACATAGCAATATAGCAATATTAATTTACCGTATCATTAGTGTAAAGTGTTAAACCGTCTTAAGAAAATAACAAAGCTTTCTGAAAAAAAACCCCAAAACCCTCCAAACCAACTAGTAATAGAAGTGGTTCGCGGAGAGTCAAATCACAACGACCAGAACCCAAAACACAGGGAGAGTGTGATATATTTTACATGGTTTTATTGTTCATAGTTCATATTACAAAACTGTATTCATATCAAAATACTTCTGAAAATATTTACGTTGGTTTCCTTTCACATAAACCCAAAGCTACAGGTAGGTCAGTATTTTCTAATCAGCATGTACCAGTAATGACTAAAACCGAAAAACTGAGTATTAATTCGATGTAATGTATGATGATGGGAAGTGAATGTCAAGCAGTGTTCTCAAGGACATCGTCTAACCACACCCTTCCAAGTGCAGTTTAGATGCCTCGATACAACCACATGACCACGAGGTTACCCAACAGCAAGCTGACGCGGTGGGGATGTCGGGCACTGCGCTGCTAGGTAAGTAGATGACGCTGTGTGAGGGACAGCATCAACGGTAACAGTACCACAGCCACTTTCTTCTGATCAGCCGCTGCAACACAACACAATAAATCATTTTACTAATAATACGACTGAGTAACATAGATGCGACGAGGAGAATCGATATCCCATTACATCATGAAGATCAATTACGCTATGAAAGTAAATTCTCAAAAATTATGAAAAAGAAAACAAAAGCTTTGTTTTCTTGGTTCAAACAAATGAAGTCAAGGTCAAAGTGGCCCCCAACCTGATTTAAGCAGTTGTTCCGAGCAATGTATTTCGTCTTTGTCCACCTCCAGACTTCTTCTTTGTCTTTTGCAGCTTCTATCACAGTAGTCGCCTTGCCAACCAGCCAGACAGCCGTGCGTACAACTACCAGTGACTTTGTGGCAACGTTTTAGATTGTCCGGCCCTGCTTTACAGTTGGTGCTGCATGACAATTCGCACGTTTCGCCGTAAACACCCGGACCACAATCATCCGGGTTGACATGGTAACACCCTGGGTATGAACACCTCTTCGTATCGCAAGTGTCACCATGGAAACCGGGTTTACATCCATGTGTACATCTTCCATCGCCTTTGCAGATATCGTTGAGGCAGTTTGATGAGCACATTCTCTCGTTGCAGGATGACCCTTTCCAGCCATTTTGGCAGCCTTCGTAACAGGAGCCGTCACGATAACACAATGCAGTTTTACATGTAGCGCTGCACGTGAGATTACAATGTGTTCCATGCCATCCATCCTTACATCCACCTGAGCATGTTCCTGTATCGCGGTGACAATTGGTTGAGCCGTCCCGTTCAGTATAACACCCACTGTTGCATGTTTTGTCACACTTGTCCCCACAGTTGCCCGGACGACACTGGTCACATCTTCCCGACAGTCTGTCGCATCCAGAAGAGTAACAGTTGGAACATCTCTCGTTACACATCAGTCCATGGAACCCAGGCGTACAGCCATCCTTGCATGTGCCATCGGTGTTACATTTGCCTCTCAGACAGTTTGTAGGGCATTTCTTCTTGCATCGGGAGCCTCTCCAGCCACGGTGACAACCTCGGAGACAGTGTCCTGTTTGCTTGTCACAGATAGAATGTAAACAGAGGCCGGGACATTCCTGTTTACATGACTCGCCGTAATATCCCTCTGTGCATGTTTGTGAGCATCTACCTGTATGTCGGTCACAGAAAGCATGATGTTTCGTTGTAGTGTCCCAGCAATGTCCAGGACATCTGGTATCACATGCCCTGCCGTAGTAGCCAGGTTTACATCTATAGCATTCACCCGTATGTCTGTGACACTCATCCCTGTCACAGTTGCTGCAGTGCTGTGTGCACCTTTCCCCATAACATTCGCCAATACATGCTTGGCAGGTCAACCCGCCATATCGTTCCTGGCATCCATTGGAACATCGAGTGAGGTTTGAATCAGGGGTTAGTGAAGCGGCACCTGTGGAGTTCACGAAATAGACTGTGATAGGATCATAATAGGATTCAGTACTTCTGAATGATTCTAGATGTTGTAACCATGTACATCTAACTGCCCTAACCACATGACTATATACAGAATGTAGATCTGACTCATTAAATGTATAAGGAGATGAACACCCAAACGGTTTATATGAACATGAATACTTCAAATGTGAACAGTTGTATTTAGATAAATCTGATAAGTGAACATATCTTTTAAAACACATGGCATCTACAGGACAAATGTGGTGTAGTCTCACCGGGACAGACACACACAAATGTCGTCCTATTATTACAATACTTGTTCAAGATTACAGGTGATAATTCCTTACCGATGACAGTCAGATGAATAATGATGAGCAGATGGAACATATCGGGTATCATCCGTCGTTTAGGATACAACCATGAATTAATCAGTGCATGTTACAATACCCTCTACCCGCCGAAACGCGCCACCTGTCGATCTACCTGTCCTGTGTAAGTGTCGCTGAGTCAAAGTGAGATTATATTTATAGCTATGAGTTGTCAAGAACAGGTATACATGTACTGGGCTGTATCGGTAGAAGATCACATGTGTGGCTCTCTGCCAATGCTTCTGTGTATAATGTGACAATAACTACTGCACCTCGTCTCTGTAGGTTGATCTCTGAGCTGAATATCTTGCATGTAACTTACTAAATTGTATGAGGTAACTTTGTGTTTAATCCATTAAATATCTAGTATCCATTAAAATACAAAAATGTATGTCCTTACTGTTTCCATCTTTAAATAAGGCAAGAGGTGATGAAGGATATTTAGTGATGAAGATAAAAGAAGCTATGTACGTTATATAAAATATTATGCAACGGGGTGTATTTATGGTGGTGGTCACCGGTCTGATGATCTTTCAGTTCTAATTAACAACGCAGATTGTCCCAGTCCACTTTACCGTCAAGCCACGATCAGTATATCCCAGTCACAGTGAGAAGGAAAACATATTTATGCACAGACAGACCGACTGTACAATGATAAAGCAAGTTATATTATTAAAGCTGAAAGTAACCGAGGCGGCCTGGTGGCCTAGTGGTTAAAGCGTTCACTCGTCAAGTAGAGGACATGAGTAAAATGTGTGAGACCCATTCCTGGTGTGCCCCGCCGTGATATTGCTGGAATATTGTTTAAAACCACTGTAAAATTGATAACAACAAGTCAGTCCCACATATACACCTGCTGTCATCTCGAACCACCATGTCAACATCCATTAATGTTTTCTGCAATGTATTGCACATCCAAGAGACTGTGGTCCATATAATGCTGACCCTTACGAGGGTATACAAACATCATTTGTCAGCTTTACAGGCCGAAAATAATTTCCAAATATACATTGGGAAACAAACAAACCAATTGTCAGGCCATGTGTTGTCCTACGACCTAGAAATATATTACACTTGTTTGAAAGATACGCTATGACGTCATTGTGTTATGGACACGTAACATATTAACTAGTATGTTGAAGTTGATTTTGTTTTTGTAACCTGGTTTCCCCGAACCTCGAAAGATTAAGTCATTCAGTTTTGTTTTAGTTTAGAACACCTGACCCTGTTATATAGCTGGGACTTCTTCAAAGATATCGAACCTACAAATGATGTCGATGATATAACTGGAGTGAGTGAGTTTAGTTTTACGCCGATTTTAGCAATATTCCAGCAATATCACGGCGGGGAACACAGAATTGGGCTTCACACGTTGTAGCCATGTGGAGAATCGAACCTTGTCTTAGGCGTAAAGAGCGAACACTTTAACCACTAGGCTACCCCACCGCCCCCATAGAGCTGGACGTGTGGGGTAGTAGAGTGACTAAGACATATATAGTCGTGTTCTTGTTTAGACGTCTAAGGCCTTCCCCCAGCATGAAGTTGACGCGACATGGTTTAACCCGAACCATTGCTCAACGCCGCGTCACCCGTACACATTCATCATGCACAGAATGATCTGAATAGACCACCAGCCGATCAAGGAAGGTGCACATCGAGCCCTGTGTACTACTTAGAAACTGATATGATTTCCCGAGAACTGACACACAACACCCAGCGGGGTGAACACATAACCCAATAACATCACGTGATCTACCATAGCTTTGCCGCCGTTGACCTATCTACCGGTACACGACTGGTTGAGCAATGTGTGTGCCTGATAATGACAGTCAACTGTCAACAATTATTATACTTTGCATTACATGCATAATGCAATAATGGATTATGTGATTGCATTGTGATTTATAATTCATGCATAATTAGACAAGGTTGTAAAATGTTTTTTATTTTTGCAAATATCGGGTCGAACATTCTGAATCTACTCAGCCCATGACAAAGCTTTCTGTTAACGTACTGAAACCAGGATGAAGTGGCGGGGCTCACTTTCGCTTCTAGTCAGTGTCCTGCACCGATAAAGACAAGCTCGGGCCCCGGGGATGACACACTGCTCACATTGTTTGTCAACAGTTATTTGACTGTTGCGTTACCCTACATGAAGAAAACCCATGCCATGGGCAGTGGTAGAAAATACATTTGTGCGGCAGACCAGTTAATGACAGCATGAACATTCCTGAGTGTCACGAGTTAGCGAGTGAGTTTAGTTTTACGCCGCACTCAGCAATATTCCAGCTACATGGCGGCGGTCCGTAACACTATTCGAGTCTTGACCAGACAATCCAGTGATCAACAGCATGAGCATCGATCTACGCAATTCGGATGCGATGACATGTGTCAACCAAGTCAGTGAGCCTGACCACCGACTCCGTTAGTCGCCTCTTACGACAAACATGGGTTACTGAAGATCAATTCTAACCCGGATCTTCACGGGCCATGTATGCCACGAGACACAAATGGAACAAGTGTGCATGACGGGGATGTATATTTTTTTTACAACAAAATATATTTGGCAGTCTTCATTTGAACAGTAGTACACCGCATAATATGAGCACTGCCTACTAATTCTAAAAACAACAACACCAGCTTATTATATATCTATATGAGCTGATATTTAAAAGCAAATGGGGCAAACCTCTTGCTCACTGTCTCCAACTCACTGTATCTGGTCGCGATACGGAAGTCATGGTTTAACGAAGAGCATGTATCCTCACTATTTGTCATCGGTCATCATTGTACATTGGACTCGTGCAGAGAGTCCTATAATTATGGAAATGGGTTCTTTCACTTTTTTAGAAATTTGATATGTCCGAAATGTACACTTGCAGGTCCCGAACGTTAACTACTTTTAATCAGTGTAAATACACATGCAAATACATTGGGTGAGTGAGTTTAGCCGCCTTTAGCAATATTTCAGCAATATCACGTCGGAAGACACCACAAATGGGCTTCACACATTGTACCAATGTGGGGAGTCGAACCCAGGTCTTCGGCGTGACGAGCGAACGCTGTAACCGATTGGCTACCCTCCTGTATATACAGAGTGCCACATGTACATATATATGCATGTGTCCCTAAATGTATATATGTAACGGGAGCCACGTTAACCGAGTTCCATCATACACCTTTCTTAAAGCGTAATTAATAAAGAAGTGCTGTCGTGACACCATGCTTACTAAACCTAAGATCAGTAACATATACTATTTCCATTAACTTGTGATGGATCAGTGAGTGGGTTAATATTTAACGTCACATCAGCAATGTATCCGCCATATCCTGACGATTTTGATGGACCAAGTCACGAAATGAGGACAGAGGATACGTGTTGTTTTAGCCGAGCAAAGAGCTAAACATGCACTATGGTAGCAACTTAAACAAGTCTTATATGTAACTGAGACGTCGCATTGTATGATCATAAACAGCTATGAGGACCACGATAATGGCAATAGGCAAGTTTCCTCAACCCGGAAGTAAACGCGCCGCACTGTGTACCGTATATACGTGCATAAAGTATTTAAGTGTTTAGTAGCCTCAACGATCGAGCAAGCGAACACGTTGAAACTGTAGCTCATGCAAAATGTTGCATGCGCAAGTAGACAAAGAGCAAAGGTTGTGTTAATGCTTGAAAATAGACAACAGATGACTGCATTTAACAGTTATTCTTGTATCGATCTCTTGATGTTTCCAAAATACCTTCTTAAACAGGTCTACCAAAACTTTCAAAACGATAATGTGCTTTATACCTGTTCGATCAGTAACGCAAATGGTGGGGTAATACGATGTGCCATTTGAGATTGACATCCAATGATCAAGAGAAAAACAAAGCGCCTTTGAGCAGCTGAGCTGGATACTGGCGCTAAATTATTCGTTTTTAATTAGATTGAGAATGTTTAATATAAAAAGAAGAAGAGGGCACAGTTCGTCTGAAGTTGATTTGAAGAGTTGTGTGCCTTCTTGACAGGATCCTTATACCGTGTGTTCAAATCTCACATTTGTACTGGAAATCATCCTCGATAATCTCCAGGGTATGCGTTCCGATAACTCTCCACTATAACCTGGATGCATTTACGGCTCAGCCCGATGATTTTATTACCTCCCTTTGCTGGCTCCGTATTCTCACAGTAGCCAATCAGATAAGCCGCCGTTACAATCGAGCTTGCCAGTGTCAACAAAGATAGCGGTCTCAGCCGCGAAAGTTTGCCCGCAGTGCGACTCAGATTTGGGGAAAACATACAGACAATTTGTTAGGTCTGAAACCTTAAAGTAATATATGCAAGAACTCCTTCTACCTCTTTCAGAGTACCTCTGCAACAATATATTATTGTGTTGCCAAGTTTAATCGGTTAGATAATTTAAAAAACGAAAGTGAGTTGTGATTGGTACGCTGAACTTCCCAGCGTAGACACCTGATTGGATAAAAATCCAACCAAAGGAGGTAGTAAAATCATCGGGCCGAGCCGTGCGTAGATGCATCCAGGGTATAATGGAGAGTTATCGGAACGTATACCCTGGAGATTATGGAGGTAGACTGGAACTGAGCCATGGTTTCTCCGTACCATACATGCTATCAGATAAGTGATGGATGTCTGCTACCTACTGAACGTCACATTAAGCAAAATATAATCAATAAAATGTGTTGCAAGAAACCGTGTGATGATAGTTTACTTTGACACAGCTTAAAGATAATAAAATGTTACAGTCGCTAAAGCTTCTAAATAGATTATATGAAGTACACCCAGGGTGTCATTTGGACATGCTGACAGGCAAATATTCCCAATATCCTGCTTCATTAAATGGTTACTACACAGTGTTTATTTGTAGACACTACTTAAGTGGAAAACATATTATCTAAAACCTGTTCAGGTGATCTCCGTGTTCAACACTGCTCATGCAACTTGTGTTGCCAACAGTGGAAACGTTTTCCACAATATCTAAAGATCTGCAAAGATGATAATTTTCCTGTGATTTCTGTATTTCTTGTTTCGCACTGCAATCCGGAATATTCTGAACATGTCGCTTCGATCTGTAAGTGCACGAGCGCTGAACAGACAGACCTGTGGTTGATATCAAGAGCGCTGCCCGACCCCGCCGAGTT